GAAGCCAAAATCCCAACAGACTATAAAACAGGAAAACCACTTGGGATCTGGGCTTTGTGGAATATTCAGGCAGTAACTTCTCTATTTTATTTTCAGAAAGTCACCAAAAAGAACTATCATTCATATACAATGACTTTTTGGATTCTAGTCGAATTGGGTCTTCAGGACTTGATCATTTCCATTCACATTCCCCATTTCCTTTGATTTTATTATGTGCGAGTTTTTCCCTTACCTTTCTAGAACTCCAGGCTTTGTTATGTTTATGGTGGTTGTTGGTGATTATGTGCCTTTGAGTGGGTTCCATGTCATAGTCACCTTGTATAGGGTTTCCAAGGCTGTCACTGGTAGTGTAGTGGTTACGAATCAGGCTGCGAACCCCAAGCTCAGCAGTTCGAAACTTCTACCAGCTGCTCCGTGGGAGAAAGATGAGGCTTTCTGCTCCCGTAAAAGATGTACAGCCTCGGAAACCATGTCCAGCGTCGCTATGGGTCAAACCCGACTCGACAGCACTTAACAACAATAATAATTCTTAATTGACCAGATAGCCTCATCTTTCTGCAGTGGAGTGACTGGTAGATTTGAATTGCTGACCTTGCCCAACTTATAACCACTTCAGTACCAGGGCTGCTGCTGTTGTTGTTAAGTGCAGTGGAGTTGGTTCTGACTCATAACGATGCTGTGTAGGGTTTCCAAGGATCGACTGGTGAACTTAAATTGCCATCCTTGCAGTGCATTAACCCGCAGCGCCAGCTTGTTGTTGTTGTTGTTAAGTGCCGTCTAGTGGATTCCGACCCATAGCGACCATGTATAGGGTTTCCAAGGAGCAGCTGGTAAGCTTGAACCACCGACCTTGCAGTTCAAATAACTTTGCAGTCTGATGCATTAGCCTACAGCGCCACACCAGGGCTCCTGTTGTTGTTGAATACCATGGAGTCGGTTCTGACTCATAGTGGTCCTGCACAGGGTTTTCAAGGCTGTAAATCTTTATGGGAGCAGAAAGCCTCATCTTTCTCTCACTGAACGGCTAGTAGTTTCGAACTGCTGACCTTATGGTTAGCAGTCCAATTCGTAACCACTATGGAGTCCTAGTGTGGTGCTGTGGGTTAATGCGCCAGACTGCAAAGTCGTTTAAACTGCAATGTTTGCAGTTCAAGCTCACCAGCTGCTCCTTGGAAACCCTATACAGGGTCGCTATGGGTCGGAATCGACTTGACAGCACTTATCAACAACAACAACATGCAACCAGAGCTCGTAGAGAGCAGTAAAATGGCATTTTAAAGTTTTGTCTAAGTTGTTTATTAGACAGTGGTGGCTCCCTGGTAGAATTCTTCCTTCTGTGTTTGACTTCCAGCTTGTCCTATCTGGTTTTTGCTGATATGTGTTACTATGAGTATTCTGAGTGCTTTTCATTAGAGCTTCCAGACTCTAAGATAAACTAGAAAGAAAAATCTGGCAATCTGCTTCTTAAAATCAGCTAGTGAAAACCTATCAGTCATAGGCTTGGCATAGGACCAAGCAGAATTTTGTTACCTTGTAGGAGAAATAAAAATAAATAACAGATTCAAAAAATGTTTTTCAACAGATAACCAAGAAGCAATAACTGGCCTTTGATGTTCAGAGCAGCACAATGTATAAATAGTTTTCATTTTCCCTAGGTTTCTCTAGTAGCTCTTTGTGTGCCATATTAGAGATCAAATTTTTCGCACTGTTGGCAATTGTATACATAGGATGGCATTGCAAAGGTTGTTGAATAAAACTGTTCTGAGGGTTGGTTGAGTCCAAAAACTGCGGCAGGGGTGAGAGCTGATGGAGAGGGGACTTCATATTGGAGAATTGAAGAGATTTACAGAGGAAGGTTCAGAAAGGAAGAAATGCAGTGAGGCGTTTATTGAAATGGAAACTCTTTATGGCCCAAGAAAGAAAACTGTAGAAGCATAGGTTTAATGAATTTTAATTTGCCTTGGTAGCCCCTGAAATAGTAGACCACTTAGGATGTGTAATCTGTATTATGTATCTTCATATGTCCCAGAGTTTACCTGCTGCTCCTCAGAAACCCTATATGTGGTCGCTATTGGTCGCAACCGACTCAATGGCACTTTAGAACAACAACATCTTCATATCTCCCAGAGTTTACTCTGGGTAGAAAATTCAGCCTCCATAGATCTGATGAACCCTAGGTTGATTTTGTCACATTGTTTTAGGCTATCTTGAAGAGATGGTTGGCTATCCCTGATGCAGCCAGGTGGGGTGCTCCTAATTATTTTCAGATTAACATCATAATGACTTTAGATTCTGCCCTTTCTGGTGGAGACCATTTACATAAGGTAGTATTTACATTTGCATAAGATAACTTTTCTGTTCATTATAAGAATTACAGGCCAGGGAGGGAAAGTTGATTTTGAAAGGCACAGATTCCAACTCCTTTGACTTGGCAATAATGTTACATCCTGACAGCATTTATTGTTAAATCACTGTGCCCTGAGAATAATCTTATTAGGCTCTAATTAAAAGCACAAGGAATTTCGGGGGGTGGGGGAATGAAATTTTTTGGGAGTTAGTTTTTGTTTTAATATCTTACCTTCTATTTTCCTCTCTTTTTTCTCATCATTTCCAAGTTCTCCTTTTTCCTTCCCCTCTCCGCCTCCTCCTCCTCCTCATCCCTTAACATTTCAGATGTTTTGGGCTTGGCTAATCCCTGTGGATAGAAATTTAGCTGAGCAGGATATTGATTACCAAATATGGTATTGCTGCTAAAGATGTTAAAGGAATGTGGCTTGTATTCTAAGCCTCTGGGCTCTGAATATGCTGCCAAACAAATTAGGTCATTTAAAGGATACTGGAACACTATGGTGATGTTCTTTTAACTTTGAGGGGGGTAGGGTCTGAGAAGAGGGGCAGGGAGTAGGGCATGTTTTAGGACCTGAGCCACCAAACCAGGTTGTGCAAGAGGCAGGCACTTAGTGCAGAGCCTGGAGTGACTGGAACACTGCTGGATGAGCTAACAGATAATTCTTTAATCTGAGACTAGAGGCTCCAGAGGACTCCAAGCGGGTCCCAGGATGCACTGCTCATGTTAACCCCAACAGTCTAAGCTTCGGAGTTTAAGAAGATATGAGCTCGTCTAGTACAGGAAGGTTGAATGTCAAGAAAGACAACCTCAAATTGATGGAGACTTTGGGTTTGGTCTGGCTGTGGAAGTCCTTTACCACATACCTGCAAACGACAGCCAGGGATTGCACTTGTCTCTCAGCAGAGCACAGTGTTTCAGGTCCATATTTGGAAATATTTATTCTCTTGTGATACTAGCTTTGATAGGGTGAGATGTTCTTAAGTGGAAGTGGATGAAGCAAATGCAAAAGAACGCAGCGTTGTTGCTTTCCCTAAAGGTTTCACAAATCTGACACCCTCTTTCAATTTTTGCTATTGGTTAGGAATACGCACGCAAGTGGTTTCCTTACCCCCTGTTTGTTACCCTCAATTGGTTTCTTTCCCAAAGAGTGAAAAAAAAAATCAGGCTTATAAAGAAATTCTGGCCACTCCGGGATGTCTTTGGTCAGGGCTCTATGACTTTGGTTTTACCTCCCCCTGGTTCCCTCTCTCTTCCCCTTCTCTCCCCCCATTTCCGCTCATTGCCTTCTGCCTTCCAGTCACGTTGTTGGAGCCCAGCTGGAGAGGTTTAGAGTTCTTCATCTTGGTCCAGAAATTCTTACTCATTTCTTATGGATATTGCTCTAATTTTTCTTCAAGTTATTAAAGAAGAAAAGGGGGCTCTGTGAACCATGGGTTGGGATTTGTACATGGAGAACACTGAGTGGAATACTTGTGTTCTAAGCATCCTCAATTTCAATGCTCACGTCCCTTTCCAGAGCACACCATACAGATAAGCACGGGACCTCAGTTTGACTTTGGGTGTGCATCCCTGTACTATTCATATTCACTGAGATGTGTATTTGTAACAGTAGTGTTGTGATCCAGAAGGAAGAGTACTGAATGTGGTCGCATGAGCTTCTTTATTTTATGCTTAATAATGAAAGCATTCTTTAATGGGATGAGTCCTCAGCAGACTTTTCTTACAGCTATCATCAAAATCAGAACTTAACCACATCAGGACACTTGGATTTTCTATAAATTTATAAGCCAACTAGAATCAAATGATAGTTCTTGTTAGGTGCTATCAAGTCAGCTATCATATAGCGACTCTGTACAACAGAATACAATACTGCATTGTCCTGTGCTATCCTCACAATCATTGCTATATTTGATCCCATTTTTGTAGACCACCTCCTTGAGGATCTTCTTTTTCACTGATGACCCCCTCCTTTATCATACATAATGTCCTTCTACAAGGACTGGTCCCTTCAGATAATACAAATGATAGGAATTAATTTTCTGATTAACGCAGAGCATTTGGATTACCTTAATGGAAAGTCAGTAGGTACAAAAGGATGCGAATTTTTCTTTCCATTTGTAGGTGATGAAATTAAGGGATATAGAAGATTTTACACTTGAATGGACCTCCCTTAGTGTTGCTACCTCTTAGAAAGTTGGGCATTTGATTTTTTTCTGTGTTATCCAGAGTGAAAGACTCAATCTTTCAACAAATTGATGTAACATTCATCTATGCCAAGAAATTTGGGAAACAGCTATCTGGCAAAGTACTACCTGAAGAGATCTTGTTCTTAATGATAGCAATCGATTGAAGTTTTTAACTACATTAAGAATACAGGTCCACATATTAAAACTTGAGCAGGTAAGCATTTGTCGAAAAAGAAAAGAAAAAACATGTATATAAATAGGCTTTTCAATTAAGTAAATACAACCCTCCTGACCCATGGCCACGTTACAGCTCTCCATGTGTTCTCTGTAAGTTGTGAGGGTGAGCGTCCTTGCTGACCTGTTGTTCAGATAGGCCGGGCTTTATTCATGTGTTTATTTTGTCACCATTCCAGTTTGACTGTAAGAAAAGGAAAACATCTTCCATTTGTTCCTTTTTTCCAAAGGGTATCCGCTTCGATCCTGAAATTCCACAAACACTACGACTAGAGTTTGCTAAGGCAAACACGAAGATGGCCAAGAACAAGCTAGTAGGGACGCCAAACCCCACTACTCCTCTGCCCAACACTGTACCTCAGTTCATTGCCAGAGAGCCATGTAAGTTGACCTCCTTTTCATTTTGTGAATATATATATGTATATATTTTGTTGATGTCCTTCGTGTGAAATTACACCATGGGGCATAGAGCTAGCAGAGTTTTCACTCTCTATCTCTGGAACAACCTTCCTCCTCTCACTGTTTGAACTCCAAGTAGAGCAGCAATCTTGTATTCTGGGCAGAGCCATAACTTCACAATTTTATTTGATGCGCTTTAGATTTCTCAATGTGCTCTTGATCTTAGTGTGAGTATGTCCTTGTTTACCCTGGGGTGTAAACCCTTTTTTATTCCTTTGTCCTTAGATATGAGTACATCCAGTTTACTCCATTTGTTCAAGACCAGCAGTTTAATGGCGTTGGGAAAAACAGGGTATTAAAAATGAAAGTAGCAGATTGTAAAAACTTGATTCTAATTCTGAGAACAGTTACAGCCGTAACTCTTAGGGGAAAAGTAAACACACCGAAGGAATTTATATATTGTAATAATAAAATTTTTGCAAGCTAATACCAGTAATGCTTTAAGGAAATTTGGGGCTTTCTGTTTTAAATTAATTGACTGAGGAAACTGGCTAATTACTAAACAAGTCTTTTGCCCCACCTTTTAAAGTGAGCTTATTTCCTTCAATGCCCAGACTACAATTTCTGCTTTGACTGAATAGTTTGAAAAGGTTGTCTTAATTTTCTTTCTCATGCTCAATCAGTGGCTGAAGTGAGGCGTGAGATAGAATTTAACTTCTCTTTTCAGTGCAAGGGTTGTATATGATTGAATGTGGCAGGGTTTACAAGGAAACCCAAGAGACTTGCTATTATTCAGAATATTTTTGTTCTATCCTTCTTGATCTCTTTTACAAACCACATGATCGTGATCTTCTTCCTGTTTCTCTTAAAAGTATGTTTCAAATCTTATTGAAACTGAAGGACACATGGGTTCCTTTCTTTTCTCGTGTCTTGTGCATGTCACATTTAATCAAGTTATTGTGAAAGTTTTGCAATCATTTTGTATGTAGTTCACTCACTGCTGAGAAAACTGCTGCTTGTCAATGGAAATGAATAGGTAAAAGAATGATCTCCCCCACACCCATGTGTTCTAAATGAATTTTCACTATGAGGGTAGAAAGTTATAATATGGGGGTGAGGGGAATAATGTGATTTCACTGGTCTAGGGAATCTTATGACTTTTATTTTTTGAGAATGGAAATCTGAATAAAAGTTTCATGTTTTGGCATGCTGCAATGTACAGAAGGTTGTAGGGACATTTTGACATAATTTTGTATTCTTACAGCATCTGGCACACAGTACTTTGTACACTGTATATACTTAATACATATTTATTACAGTGAGTGAATGGGTGGATAAATTAAGAGTTGATTTTGGCTATTTGTCGAATGAAACCATGTATATGCTTCTTCTTCTCTCTAGACAAGGCATCAAACAAAAATGTTTACAGGATACTTTGATTTAGAAAAGATAACCTGGCATAACTCCTGACTTTTCTAATGAATTTGCCTTCCTCAGATCTCTGAAGGACTTTGAAAAGATTAATTCAGACAGGAAGTGTAATACTAGTAATCCTTAATTCTTTCAGTTCTTTGTTGGATGTTTTTCTTTCGGGGAAATCATAAACTTTTTCTGAGTGCTACACCAGCCCTGCGTAATAGGTAGCTAAAATAGAGTCAGCCAGTTCACAACAGGGCACACAAAAACAGCAGAGAGTGTGCCTACTGACCATCTACAAGAACCTTAGGATACAGTGGAGCTTAATTTACAGCAGAGCTTATAACACTTGCTCTAACACACTCTGCCCACCTCCCTTCTCTGTGTACGAAACAGCTCAGAAACAGTCAGACAGTTTCCATAGCAGTGTCAGATTTTTCTGGTGGATCATAAGAAAACAAATTTTGAAGTTAAACAATTCCAGACAGTCAGATATTAAAAGTTAGTGTGATTTCTCTTAATATAGCTCCTTTTTACAACACAGAGGCCTTAATGAGCAGCAACTCCACTGTGACTCAGGCAACCATATCATTGCAGTCCCCTCTGAGGGGAGTAGATCTTCCTTGTCCTATTTGCAGAACCGCTGCTTTCCTGGATGCAGACCGGGACCACTGTGCTTGTTCTGTATTGCCAAATCACTGGGTCTCAAATGGTCAGGTGTGGACTTGAATGGAATCTGAGAACTTAATGTCTGTAAAATTCTGAATGCTTCTCTGTTCTTCCCTCTTCCTGTGAAATGGTTCCTTCTTGTTGTCAGACAGGGTAGTTGGCACTTGTTTGTTATAAGTAGCTTTTTTTTTTTTTTAAATGTTTTTATGTGGTAGTTGGAAAGCACCCATTGTCATCATTACAAGAGCAATGTTCTATGAGTCAGTTATAGAACAAACATTCATTCAATTTTTAATTAAAAATCTATTGAACTTATGAGCACTGTAGTGTGCTAGATATTGGCGAGGGGCCAGAAAGCTTGGTCGTACATAGAGTTCGTAAAAGAGACGCATTTGTAAATTCACCTTAAGTCTTACTCTATGGTAAGTATCACGATTGGGAGAAGAAAAAAAACGGCATTGCAACTTTCCACACTAGATGGTGGCTTGCAGTAGAGAACCTTGGCCTGAGACTTGAAGGTGTCAGGATTTAGGTTTTGCCAATTATTCTCAAACTGTATGTAGCATAGTGGTTATGAATTGGGCTGTGAACCTTAAGGCCAGCTGTTCCGCGGGAGAAAGATGAGGCTTTCTGCTCCCGTAAAGATTTACAGCCTTGAAAACCCTGTACAGGGTCACTATGATTCAGAACCAACTCCACGGCATATAACCAACCAAAGTGTAAAAAAAAGAATACCTTCTTCACCTGACTAGGCTATAAGCTTTAAATAAAATCACAGGGTTGTCTTAAGGATTAAATGGGTGTGATTAACACAGAATACTACATAAATGTAATATATAATCCTCATTTTAGAAAAAGCCACTGGGTTGAAAGTTAAAAGTAAATATTGGTTGAGATGCCATCACTATATGACTAGAGCCAGTTGTCTTTGCAAATTAGAGGAAAGGATGATGAAAATTCACAATCCCAAGAAAGCACTGTATTTCTTAGCCAAATTTTTATTAAAAGGATAATTGATTTGAGTTTTTCTTTCCCTTATCTGTAAACCTTGTGTAGGCAGTCCCTTGGTTACAGACGAGATCTGTTCCAAACTATGATTAGGAATTTGTAGGTGAGTTGGAACAGAAACATATGGTTTCTCACTTTAGTGCAAGAAAACTCAAAGCCTTTTCAGCAATTTAAGACCCGCATGTATAGTAGGTAAAGGTGATTGTGATGAAAAATTTGCTCTGATTAGCAAATCATTTCACAGTGAGGGCAAATTTACCTAACATAAAACGATTTTGAGCCCTAGAATTGCTGCTCCACTTAAAGATGGCAATGGACTATACCACTTTGAAACTGTGTGGCTCTCCAAGGTCCTGCAAGTAACGCAATCTCGTGCATCAGTCTCCTGAAAGGGCTATATCTCTTTTACACATCTCTTGCACCTGTAATTTTTCCCATTGTGGTCACCATGACAAATCAACGAAAGCGTAAAAATTCAGGTTCCTGTTTTGCTTCATCCACCATGACAGAACCATTTCAAAGCCCTGCTTCAATGGAAAGTATAGATTGTCTGTAAATCAGATGTTCCTACTCGGGGATGTCCTGTAAAGGTGTTAAGAAAGAAGTGGCAATATTGTATGTAATAAAGATATGGAAAAAATACGCTGAAAAAAAAAACCAGAAAGTAAATCACTACTTCTACCAACAGTATGAAAATTTCATAAATTAGAAAGTATGTAAACGTTTCCTAAATTAGGCATTTGGTTATATAGGAAGTTTGTATTCTATAGTTAAGAAATCCACTTTAGAAATTAAAAGAGACCTAGGCTAGAATCTCAGACAAATCACCATGTCTCTAAGTTTTGTTTTCTTCATCTGTAAAATGATGATATTTTATGCCATACTGAATTTTCTCATTTGATTTTCAATACCCATAATTGGTTCTAGGAAAAAAGCAAACATGAAAAAAGCATACACAGAAAATAATCCGAGAGTCAGTGTAGAATAAAACCTTTGTATACTTCGTGTCTGTTGTTCCGTCCCATTGAGTTAATTGTAACTCCCAGCAACCCCATTTTCCATGGAGAACTACTTGACAGGTAGGGGTTTTCAAGTTTTTGACCTTTCAGAAGCCAGAGAGCTAAGGGCTTGTTTCTGAAGGTAACCTATGAGTGAGTTTGAACCACCAACCTTTCAGCTAATAATTGAGTGCATTACCATTCGTACCACTCAGAGTCCATTACTTAGCAGGTAGTAATATTTGTGAATTTTTTTTAAAAAATGAATTATTCTTATGTGATTCCATTTGTTCACAATCATTCCCTCCCAAGCAAGTGTGGTGGGGGTGCGCTTCTGAAGTCTTTTTTAATGTAGAGTCTTATTGAAGTATGATGGTCATATAACAAAATGCACATATTTAAAGTGTGCAATTTGATCTGTATTCTCATGATAAATACAGAATTTAATTTAATAAATGCTCTTGAGTTGTTGACACTTTTGGCAGCATACCTTATTACACTTGCGATTATAATCGTGCCCTTAAAAGTACGGAGAGACACAGCTTAGTGTAGAGCATTTTCTCAAAGTAGACAGGCTTTCAATGCAATTTTTATGATGCAACTAACATAAAACTCTGCAACAGTGCAGATTCTTAAATTCTAACCCCAGGGATTGTAATTCTGTGGGTCTGTGGTAGGATTTAAACACTGTTGTTTTTTAAAGCTCTTCAGATGAGTCTAATGCCCAGCTTCAGATTCAGTAGAAGAGCAAGCAATTTGAAAGTTAAACTGGCTTTCCAGTCACACAGTGTTCCTATCCCCCTCCCCACCCCCTGCGAAACAAAAGCATGCTTTATTAAATTGATACTCTTATACACCTGGTGAGCACGTAACCTTTTGGTGAATGATCAA